TCTTTTTTTTTTTCAGGTTTAATTATTGGGTCATCATTTCTACTCACTGTAAATGATCTTCTTCTGAAAACAAGTCTCAAAGAAAGAAGTCGGATTCTAATAGGACCATGTTGTGCTACTGCCAATCTGGAAGCTAAATGGTGTAAACACAGTGGCAATCCAGGCCCAGAACAGTCCGTACCAAAAATATCCATTGATTTAAGAGGAGGTCTGCTACAGGTCTGTGGAGATTGGCTCCATGTTTCCCCCATAAATTTTTAACTAGCCTTTGTTCATTTTTTGAACTGTTCCATTACATTTTAAATCTTGATGTAGTAAGAAAGGGTATTGTCAGATTGCTGTCTTGCTAAACTTGTTTTTTCTTACTAAACTTTTTTAACAGCTTTATTGAGATATAATTCACATACCATACAATTCACCTAAAGTATACAATTCAGTGGGGTTTTTTTTAGTATATTCACAGAGTAGCATTGTCTTCACAACAGTCCATTTTAGAACATTTTTACACACATGCCTCCAGAATCCTTTATGTATTAGCATTCACCCCCCCCCATTACCCTCTAATCCCCTTTCAGGCTAGGCGACCATTAGTCTATTTTCTGTTGCTACATATTTGACTCATTTAGACATTCCATATAAATGAAATAATATAAAATGTGGTCTTTTGTGACTAGCTTCTTTCACTTAGCATGTTTTCAAAGTTCATTCATGTTTTTGCAAATGCCAGTACTATATTACTTGTTATGGCCAAATAATTCTCCATTGTATGGGTACACCCCATTTTATTTATCCATTCAGCAACTGATGGACATTTAGGTTCTTTCCATTTTGGGCTATTATGAATAATGCTATTCTAAACATTTGTGTACAAGTTTTTGTGTGGGCATATTTTTCCCTCCTCTTTGGATAATATGACTAGGAGTGGAATTGCTGGGTCATTAAACTTTTTTTCTAATGTGTGGACTTCCCTGATTACAGAGTAGTCAACCTGTCTCAAGCACAGTGTCATCAGGAATCTGTGAGAACCATTTCCTAGTCACAGATTCTTTAGCTGTTATAATGTCTGATGACTAACTTGATATAAAATCTTACATTGCAGCCTTTTATGCATTTGACTTACAGCCAAGTTGGGGGTTTGTGAGGGTACCCAACTTATTTTATTTGATAATTTCCTTTTTGGATGGAATCTGAATGTATTCTTTATATGATTTGATGTCTCCCAAATTTGACACAAGTCTAAAAAGCTTGAGAAATTCACAGTTATAGAAAATAGAAATGACTAATTTGTTAATAACGGAGGCATATTAAATGGGAGTTTCTTATTTTCATCTAAAAGTTGTATTGCCTCAAACTTTTCACCAGTTTTCTTGCTGACACAGAGCTACATGTGGGGGATCCTAATAATTAATGCTTTTTATTGCTGTGGAGATTTTCAGCATCTATCATAAATCTTCATGTATTTACTAAGCTTGTGAATTTGTGTTGTGTTTTCAAGAATATTAATTGTATTACCATTTTTCCAAGGGAGCAAAGTAACTCTACCATAAAAACAACATTAAGAGCAAAAACAAAGTATATCATCTCTACATTATAAAGTGTCTTGACATTTTAAGAGCTGGGACACAGTGTTTGACTCCCCTAGCTTTTCACCTATCTCCATTTCTCAGGATTCAATAAAAATAAGATTGATGAGAAAAAAAAATAGACTTAGTATCATATCTCTTACCTTCATTTCTGAGATGCCCTAATTCCAGAGATCAAGAGCTAAGCTTAGGGTTTAAAACTTACCCACAAGGTATAGGCTTATTCTTTTCTATCTCTGTATATTTTTTTGTTCTTTTCTGTGTTACCCGGTTCTCTTAGAAATAATAGTTGTATTGCCTTTATCCAATATAATCAGAGAAATTTAACATTATTAAAATTTGAAATCCTCTGACATTGATCATTATTGGCCACTGGTCGTACTTCTGTTGTAGAACAACATTCTTCACCTGTAGTAAAAGGGAACTTGATCCTGTCTGTTAGACAAAACACCAAGGCCTCTGTTTGAAACTCTGCCGTAGCTCCTGTCCATCTGGTTCTCAGAGGCTGTGGAATACTGTGCATTGGCACATTCTCGCTAAACACAGAGTTGGGAGCCTTCTAAGTTCAGGCTCATTGAGCATCTCGTCTTTTTCTCTGAAGAGTGAAAGTGCAAAGAAAAGAACTCTATAGTCTGACTGAAACGTTGTGCTGTACACCAGAAATTGACACATTGTAACTGACTCTACTCCAAGTACAAAAATAATAAAATAAATAAATATTACTATTTAAAAAAAAAGAAGAAAAGAATCCTATAATCAAGATGTGTTCATTTAACCTCATGGCAACGTGTAGGAAGCTTTTCCACGAGGTTATTATTTTATTAACATTTTCACCCAAGAGGATCTTCAGTGCCTTCTCTCACACTATGATTGGTGTTCTTTTCTCTCTTAGCTAAGTTAATTCACAAACATTACTTCATGTCAACATAATTTTGTCACTAATTCAACATTTAAAATTGATTGTTATTCACACAGTATATGATGTAATTGATTTTCTTGTTTTGATGTATTTACCCAAATAATAGAATTTCATCTAATAGGTCAATTACTTAAAAATTGTAATTTAGTTATTGTCAGTAATTAAATTAAACATAATTACAGTCTTTGATTCAAATATGACTGTACCTAATTATCCTCATGAAATATTTGTATTTAAAGCTACTGAATTTTTTTATATGATTTTAAAGGTTTTCTGGGGTCAAGAACATTTGAATTGCCTAGTTCTTCTACATGAATTACTCAAAGGATATCTTAACGAGGAGGGAAATTTTGAAGTGCAAGTTTCTGAAGCAATGCCACAGATGCCGTCTCCTCTGGAAAAGAATCAGATGTTTAAAAGTGAACAAAGTTCAGACGACCTGCGGACTGGTCTATTTCAGTACATACGAGATGCTGGTAAGTAGTTCTAGCTTCAGTATGAGTGTGTGTGTGTTTGTTTTTAGCTGCACACTTGCTAAATGATAGCACATCAAGATCACTTGAAAAGTAAGTGAATACCTGCAGGACAAAAATAGTATGTTGTCATTCAGTCTCTCTTAAGGGAAAACTCTTGATTTGTTCCTGTGTCAAACCATATAAAAATGATCAACCAGCTTCTTTTCTTTTTATTCTCATAATTTTTTTCGTGCTATAATAAACCCATGTGTCCCCCTTCAAAAGCATGCAATTAACTATTCTTTCATTTAACAGAACCTTTGAAAATGCCTGGTGTCTATGAAGTCTTGTTTTACAATGAAACTGAAGACAGCCCGGGCATGATGTTATGGAGATACCCGGAACCACGCGTGCTCACCCTTGTGCGGATAACCCCTGTGCCCTTCAACACCACAGAGGATCCGGATATTAGCACAGCAGACCTTGGCGATATGCTCCAGGTATGTAGGGACTATTCATTCTTAAATAAAAAATTTGTGGGAAAGTGCTGATTCGATAGTAGGAAAAATGTTGGGAGCATATCTGTTTTTTCCATCCATAGTATCAGAGAGAATACACACACGTGTGTATGCAAACACATACATACACAGACACACACACACTATAAATTTTTTAAAATAAGGGAATGTTATTCAGATTCACAGTACACAGCAATTTTGAGAGACCTTAATTTGCCCTTGGTCCTGTTACAAGTAGCTTACATGGTCCCTAACTGTCATGGGACAAACAGGTGTCACTCAGTTCCCCACACGTTTTCCAAGTACCTACCATGTGCTCACACTCTTCAGCATTTTTAGAACTGCTGTGTGAAATAAGATACATCCCCATAAGGTCAGAATGGATGACTCAATTTTCATTTCATTTCCAGAACTGAAAAAGTTCTTGGGCCCTGAGGCTAATAGGAAAACCATCTAACAGTGATGAGATTCCATATGATTTTGTGAAAGTTTGTTGCTTGTCAGTTCCCTGCATGTGGATATCACTAAATTCTTATTCTATTGGTTAATATTCTACAGATCTGGATTTCTCCTAAATTTTGTTTTTCTCTTAGTCTTCTACCTATTACTAGATCAGACAGCCATCCACTCAGAGTCATTCCTGATTGCTCTCTTTCCCCAACTCCCCACATCTCATTCATCAACAGGTCCTGTCAGCTCTGCCTCCAAATATTTCCCTATTTCACCTTCTTCTTTCTGTTTCTGCTGGTACAGCTTGAGTCCAGGCTACCATCTTCTGTTCCCACTACAGGAGCTTCCTCATTAGTCTCTATGATTCCATCCTTGACTCCTTGTAATACATTTTCCAAACAGCAGCTAGAGAGATCTTTTGAAAA